CAGTCTGTACGTTATGGAGAGAATGTTCTATGAGGTTGTTTTGTTATTGTTTTGAGACAGAGTCTAGCTACAGAGCCAAGGGCTAGCCTTGGACTCGTTGTGTAGACCAGGCTGGTCCTGACCCTGCAATCCTGCTTCTAGCCTTCCAAGTACTGAAACTACAGGCATGTATTACCAAACCTGGCTCTTCGTTCTTATTCATTGATGTTTAGGACAGGATTTGTGGCTGTACCTTTGAGTTAGGGAGTAGTTTTAAGGCACCTCCCCAGGGCAGGAGGGAAGAGCAGTCAAGGCTAGGTTGTCAAATAAAATGCAGAACACTGAATGTCAAACAAACAGAAAATTTCAGTTTAAGTATATTCAGATCTTGCATGGGATGTACATATGCTAACATATACTTGCTTCTCTTTGTTTGAGTTTGATTAATCTAAGCCAGAACCTGGTGTGGTGGGGAGGAATGGAGACAGCACTCCTGAGGCCCTGTCCCCCAGTCTCTATATGTCCTTACTGCCATGGAGTTAGGAATACTAAGGGAAAAGCTGGGAAGACATTTCCTCAGAGCAAGGATGGGTGGGGGTGTGAGGGAGAGACAGAACAGAACGGAATTAGATAGAGACCTGATCTTCTGTGAGGTCACTTGTCCCCCCAGCACTGGGATGATGGAGTAGGTGGTGGCGCCAGATCACCAAGTTAAGGCCAGAGGCACCTGTGTTCTGGCTCTCAGACAGCAGTGTGGAGCCATGAAGCCTCTTAGAGGTAAATTATCTCCCTTCCAGTCAGCAGCACCCCAGCGGAGAGAGCCAGCGGGAGCCGATTACACTGACACTCCAGGCTGTTTTTTTTTAAAGCTTCTCACTTGCTGGCTGTCTTAAAGACTCATCCCTGTCCCCAACCCTGTGGTCTCCAAGCATCTGCTCAGGACTCCCAAACACCCTGCGCTAATCACTAATCGCCCAATGAGACCATCTGGGGATCTGAGAGAACAGCTTCAGCTTTGTCTCCTTGTTTCCCCTGGACCCGGCATCTTGTTCCCCTATATTCAGAATCCCCACACCCTACCCTGAAGCCCATACCCCATCATTCGCCCACACCTCAGTGACCTGGGTCTCTTCAACACCACACAGACACTCTAGCTGCACCTGGGAGGGGTTAAGCTCAGCAGCCTGGAACTGTCTTCACAAGCAAATCCCACTGGAGCCCTAGCCCACAGCATGCTGCCCTCATGCCTTCAAGCTACAGAGACATCAGTGGCCAGCTCGTCCCCTCGGTAAGGGGCCCTCGGAGAGTGGCTAGCCCTCACGGAGCTCTCGGCGCACAGGAGCGATGACAAGGACCAGTGACCCCTGTATCCTGGAGAGGTCTGGGGACAGTGGAGTGGGAAAAAAGAGAGCTGAGGGGACTACAGCCACAGTGTGTCTACGGACGACAGCAGGCAGGCTGCTTCAGAGTAGAAATGAACCAATTCTGTCTCTGCCCCCTCAGGAGCACGCCCTGGTTCTCCCACTGCAAAATCCCCAGCCGTTCCTTCCCTGGAGTCCAGCTCTGTCCTCAGTTCTGCCCAATGGCTCTGTGTCAGACTCTGGACATGCCACCTCCAGAGTATCTGAGTCCATCAGCAGAGCAAGGCAGAGCTAGACTCGAGCTCCGCAGAGCAGACTCTTACCCCATGTCCTTGTGCCTCCCAGCTTGCCTCTTCTCTTTGGATAGAACCCACTGAACCACGAGCTTAAATAGATCACCCCCTTAGAAGTGCTTGCCGCTGTGATATGAAGTCTGACCGTCACACTTGCTGGGCCCCTTGCACTGGGGTCGGGATGTACTCCCGAGCAAGCTTCACCTCCACCCTGATTGTAGTTCCCATTGGCTGTGTGGCCACCCGGCCTGTGATTTTGCTAATTCCTAGCTGACTATACCGAGTCCCAGAAGAGAAAATGAAATTCCCCAGAAGTCAGCTGCTGGTGGGCCCCCACAGCAAGAGGGCACCCCAGAGCTCTCATGGTGCCATGGCCAGCATTCTCATTTCTCACCCCTTTCCCATCATGCTCTCCTCCACCAGCTCCTTTCCAGATCATCCCTCAACTGCCTCTTGCCTGATGTCTGGTCACTGAGTAGCCTTAAGTGAGTTGCTCTGCCTCTCTGGATTACTCCTGGTTCCTTATCTACAAACAGAAGGCTAGCCCCCTGGACTGCAAGAGGCGCCCCGAGGTGAAGAGTGGATGGGAAGCTCCAGGAAAGAGGCTCAGCAGTGCAGAACAAGGGCCCTACCAGGCACCCATGTGCCCATGTGACTTAATTCTCCTCACCACCCCACACTGAGCTCTCCACCAAGGGACAGAGCAGAGCAGAGCTCACAACTGCCCTGAGCTCCAGTCTTAGAGTGTGAGCCAGAAGAACCTGGGACAGTGGTAACACAGCCACTTAATGGCACAGATGGGGAAACTGAGGCCTGGAGACTATTAAGAGCCACTGTTTGTTGGGCACTTCCTAGGATTCCTGAAATCCTAGGGATTGCCCTGCTTTAAAGAGGAAACTGAGGCTCAGAGACTCCATTGACTGATTCCAGGCCACACGACTAACGGGAATCACAATCAGAATGGAGGCTAAGCCTCCTCCAGAGTACTTGCCCATGCCTATGCAAGCTGCTCAGTGAGTGTGACAGCCAGACTTTATGTCACAGTGACAAGCACCCCAGAGAACCACTTCAAAGGGGGATTATCTATTTGAGCTCACGGTTTTAGAGGGCTCTGTCCATGGTGGTGGTATAAGAACAGGCGAGGTAGAGCAAAACCACATGACAGCCAGGAAGCAGAGTCAGAGAGAAAAGGAGAAGAGGACAAGCTACCTCAAAGGCACACCCACTGTGACCTTCCTCCAACAAGGTCTCACCTGCTAAGAATGCCATCCCCCATGAACCTGGCAGTGGTTAATCCAGGGGTAAAGCACTCCCACAAAGCTCCACCTCACCTTTGAATCCTGCTCTTTGGAAACCAAATCTTCAATGCATGAGCCTTGTGAGAGGACACATCATATTCAAATCATAGCAGGCCAGTAGGCCACAAGCCAGTACCTTTCCACCCTAGGCTGCCCCACACTAAAGGACAGACTGACCCTGAGAGCAGAGAGGCTGGAGGACTATCGAGGTGGTGGTCTCATCCTGTGTGGACAGCACAGGATTTCTAGCTCTGTGTCAGAAGGAGGGTCTTGGGTCCAAAGAGGTCTAGAGGGGTGGTACTAGACAAAACAAGAAGATCAGGAGGTTCTGAAAATGAAGGAGCAGAAGAAAAGGAGTCAGGAAGTCCACTCCATCTCAGTCACATGTTAGCTTTTGAGTAAGGGAGAGCAGAGGGGCAGGAAGGCATCTTTCCTCGGGGACTCTTGATCTGGGAGACAAGGAACTGAGGCACATGGAAGTACTGAGCACTCACCCCAGTGCCCAACACCATGCACAGACCAGACAGCAGACCCATTTCTTGAGCCCAGGACCTCATGATCTATAAAAAGCCCTCAGACTCTAACGTGAGAGCTGTAGGTTCAAAGTGAAGAGCCTGGGTTTCCTAGTGCTCGCTTGTGATTTGGGGCAAGCCATCTGACCTTTCTTGGCTGACACCAGCCGGGAAGATGCTGGGAAGGGCTTGGTGAAGACGAGGTCACTGGAGTTGAAGGACTGAGCTCAGGACAGGAACGGCTGAGATGGAGACTCTTGCTGCTTTTTCCACGGTGTTGGATGCCAACACTTGCTAGCACCAACCCACTGTTAAGTGACCCAGTCAGGTCCAATTACCAGGTGCTGAGTGTCCAGATCCAGAGAGGAGACAGAAGGTCTGTTTTCCTGCTCTCATCAGGCAGAACAGGAGGGGGATTTATTTCTAGCCCCATGCCTCGGGAAGAGCAGTTACACATCAAAGTATATCTACAAAGGCAGCTCAAGGTGGCCCAGAGACTGTAATCAAGCCTCTAAGACCATGATGAAGACACTGCAGGTCCTTCTGCAGTGGAAGAGATGCCTTGGAGCTTATGAACCCTGCTCCTTGCTCAGTCTCAAGCTCCTCCCACTGTCTCTGTGTATCTTTGTGTGCTCCAAGTCCTGCCTCTTGGGCCTGTCCATCTGCCTCTCACCCAAGCGCCTTGCACTAGACAACATTGATTTGTTTTGTTTTGGTTTTGGTTTTTCGAGACAGGGTTTCTCTGTGTAGCTTTGCAGCTTTCCTGGAACTTACTCTGTAGTCCAGGCTAGCCTCGAACTCACAGAGATCCGCCTGGCTCTGCCTCCCGAGTGCTGGGATTAAAGGCGTGCGCCACCACCGCCCGCGACAACATTGATTTGACACCAGAAGTAGAGAAGGCTTCAGAGTCATCAGGAGGATACATCAAGGGCACACCTAACACTCAAGGACAAATGCCATTAGCTGGTCAGGGGGCTTCTTTTGCAGTGCAGATCTACTGGGAGGTCATGAGCCCCTACTAGCCAACTTCAGAGCACACTCTACTGCTGGCCAGACAAGAGCCAAGATGGCTTTCCAAAGCTCTACCCTGCTTCTGGAGCTCCCACAGCCACGTCCCCTCCTTCCACCACCTCCACACTCAAGCAGACTCTTCCACCCAATGGCCTTTGTTCCCTGGTGCCCCATGTTGTCCCAGTGGAACACCCCCTGCTCCCATCCTCACAGTCCTGGGCCTCAGGAAGAATGGAATCTACACTTCATCGTGTGGCTACCAGCAGCTCTCCCCAGGCACAGCCATTTCTGAATCTGTTCCCTGACCACCCCGGGAAGGATCACACTGTTTAGCAGAGCTGGGTGTGCCCAGGCTCTGCGTCTCTGACAGGCTCCCAGGGATGAAGGAGCATCTATGCACTTACAAAGCCAAGTTTGCAAGTCCTTGCTTGTCATTTAGCAAACTGCCTTAGCTCCAGGTGAGTCTTGGGATGCAGCCACAGGGGCCCAGGAGACTCCCGCTGCTTGATGCTTCTCTTTCCCAGCATGTTTTCCCAAGATACTCACCTATCTTCTTAGGAGAGACATCCCGCAACCACCGCCTTCCTATGAAGATCTGCTCACAAAGAACCCCAATGAAGATCTCAGAGGTTCCTCTTCCCAGTAAGTGTCAGCTTTAAGAATAAAAGACACAAGACAGTGCATCCAAAAGGATGGTCCCTGGGGGTAGGGAGTGTGGAAAGACTGGCCTCCCACCTTTCACTCTAGCAAATGCAAGTTGGGGGCAAAGCCAGCCACTAGGGTCTGCAGGGAGTCCCTGCTCACTCTGAGCTCTGATGTCCCCATTCTTAGGTCCAAATTGTTGCCAGTCTTTGGGAAAGCCATGAGAAAGGTCCTTAATGGAGTCCTGCCTCTGGGTGCCAGCCACCACTGTGACCCCTCTGGGAGTCCAGGACATTCCCGGGGACCTGATGGTGCCTGGGAATCCTCTCTGAGGTATAGCAAGCAGTTAGAGAGAGACAGGACCAGAGGAGGGCCTGAGGGCATGAAGAGAGGAGGGCCTGGGGTTGAAGAGCTAAAGTGGCCACAGAGAAGCATTCCATTTGCAAGCTAAATAGAGTCACTTTATCAGGGAACAAGGTTCAGAGCGCCATAAAAATTAAAGTAATTTACTATAGCTGCCATTCTGCTCTGTTTGGGTTATGTTCAAGCCACAGCCTGGAGGGAGTGAAGTCAAGAGCATTCGTGAAGCATACAGAGGCAGAGGCAGGATATGGTTGGTGTGTGTCCACCCCAGAGCAACCATCCTGCCTCCAAGAAAATGAAACAGGCCTTGGTGGGCCATCTCAATGACCAGAGAGCCAGGGCAGTGGCTCCCTCTGTTGGGTGAAGCTGGACAAAGCTTAGCCTGAGAAGGGGGACCTACCCAGGCCAGAGCATGAGGCTCTGCCTCAGCTCATCCCCTACCCTTCCCATACAGACAGCACTGGAAGTCAAGGCTGGACTCAGAAACCACAGCAGAGTAAGAACATCCAAAGAGATGAGGGTTCAAATCCTTCCTAGTCTCACCAGAGAACCAGGACAAGTTACACTAACTTTCTAAAGCTTGTTCTTTTGGTTTTATCTGTTAAATGGGGATAATTCCTCTCCATCAATGGTATTGTTTGCATTACAGGAGATTATGTCTGGTATCTGCCCTCCTGGAAGCTCAGCAGTAGTAGAAAGTCCAGGTCTATGGCACTAAGATTTGATTGCCAACTTGCCATAACCTAGAATCACCTGTGAAGAGACTCAGTGAGGGAATTGTCTACCTTGGGTCGGTCCTGTAGGCATGGCTATGGAAGACTTAATTGAGTTAATTGATATGGAAGATACAGTCCACTGCGGGCGACACCATTCCCTAGGCAAGGAGTCCTGAGCTGTGTTAGAGTGGAGAAACAGAGCTGAGCAGAGGTGGGCGCGTGTACATTCATCTCCCTCTGCTCTTGACTGTGGATATTCTGGGACTATCTCTTCTAAGCTTCTGCCTTGACTTCCCCCACAATGATGGAATATAACCTGAAATCATAAGTTGAAACAAGCGCCTTTCTCTCCTAAGTCGCTCTTTGTTGGGTCTGTTTAATCACAGAACTAGAAATATGACCAGGACGAGGCCCCTAAGACAGAGCCAGGTGCCCTATTAACAGCAGTGACAATAACAGCCACATGGGCATTCCCAACTGTCCAGAGGTGCCCAACTGTCTCATGTAGGCTTTAGAACGGTACCAAACCATGTGCAGCCAAAGAGGCAGCACAGAGGCTGACGCGCAAGCCTCAGGTCACACAACAGGGGGCCAGGGTTTGCCTAGATCCACAGTCTATATTCTTAGCTGTTTCCCCATGAAATAAACCCTCCCTGAGAGTGTTCCCCCATGGGCTCGTGCATGTGAACTCTTGTCCCTAGCTGGTGGCAGCAGTTGAGGGAGAAGCTTTGGGACACAGGCTTTGTGGGAGGAAGCATATCACCAGAGGAACTTGGGGAATAAAGCCTCTCTCCACATCTACTTCTCTCCCGGCTTCCTATGTGTGGTTGAGACTTGATCACTCAACGTCTGCTCCTGTTGTTTTCGGCCATGCTTCCCTGCCGTGATGGGTTCCTATCCCTCTGGAACCATAAGCAAAACAAAAAACAAAACAAAACAAAACAAAAAAAACCCCAAAACCTCTTTCTTATGTAAGTTGTTTTGGGTTATGGTGTTTTATCACAGTGGTGGAAAAGTAACTGATATAGCCTAGAAAACAGCATTCAAAACCCTAGTCTCGTCTCTGTTACTGGTAAGCCATGGGACAAAAACAACTAATGCTCTACCGAGGTCTCAGTTTCCCCACTCTCAACAAAGGGGGGAGGGGAGTGGACAAGTATCTCTAAAGGACAAATCTCTGATGTTGACTCGTGTATTGATGGGGAGAAGCAAAGTCAAGGTGACCAGGAGGAAGAGGAGATTCGGCTCTCTCCAAGCACATGCTCTTGCACCTGGACCCTTGCAGTCTAGATGCCCACCCCCAACTCTGCCAAGACTGCTTCAGCCTAAGGAAAGGAGAACAGCTTGAGAGGCAGCATCTGGGGTGTGTAGGGGGGACCCACAAGGAGACTGGTTCCCATTACATTTCCACTGCCCTGAGAAGGACAGAGGAACTGTCTCAGAAGGGCAAAGATGTCCCTGAACTTGAAAAAGAAGGAACACCGCTCAGCCCTGCCCCTGCAACTGATATGATCTAAAAAGTGGATGGAGCAAGGTTCTGAAGAAACCATAGTGTAGAGAAAGAGGAAGGTCCTTGGCTCCCCCTCCACCCTCAAAACCTACCTCAGTACTTGCCAACTTCTTAGGGCCTCGGGGATGGTGGCTTCTAAGTCACACATAGAGAATGGAGCAGTGTCTAGCCTGTGGTGGGGGTGGGGAGGGGACTCTGCAGTCATCCCCAGTCTCTGTCCCCATAAACTCCTAGTCTGCATGTGGCAGTGACCAGGCCCACTTCTCAGGCTCAACATAAAACTTGCGTGGAGGTTATCACACACAGCGTTCAGGCAGCTGTGCTCCAAGTCTCCCCTCCCTCTGGACTCTCAGTCTTGCATCTGCAAAAGCGAGAGTTAATAGCTTTCACTTCTCTCAGGTGCTGAGGCGACTGAGGGAGGCGATTAAGGCAATGGCAGGCAGCTCAGTGCGGCCAACACCTGTGCTCCCTGCCTGCCTGCTCAGCCTGGAGTCCGGTGAGTTTCTTGTAAGATAGAGCATCCATGCGTTTGTGGAATGAATGCAGGCATGTTCCCATTACACAGATGGTGACAGCGAGTCCTAAACTCCAGGATTCCATGTCTAGTCCACTTCAGAACTTGCAGGGCTGAGAACACTGCAAAGTCAGCGGACGGGGTTGATAACATCCAACCACTCAGGGTCACCTTGACAGGCAGCCAGACATCTTCCCAGGAGCCAAGGAGGAGCAAGGTCCCTCTTAGCAACCAAATGTTATCACTGCACCGGGACAGGGGCCTTCCTTCCTCTCCTAGCTAAGTGGTTATGACCAGCTCAGCAGGACAGTGGAGGGAGGAGTTCCGGCCAGGGAGGAGGCTGTAGATCTCTGCCTCCCATGTGGCATTGCTACAGTGGCTGCTGAGAGTCATTGGAGGCCCGACTCCCTGCAGATCAGCAAGCCCATAGATCTCTGTCAGAGACTCCGGCTCAAGGGCAGCACCATAAATCCAGCGTGGGAGAAAGCGACTGAGCCAGTACGCCAGGCACTCCCCCAGCGAGCAGCTTTCCTGGAGCTGACCACTCTGTACAGGGTGGCCCTGGAGTGTGGTTCACAGAGCATGTTGTTCTGAGATCTGCTTCCTATCCATCAACAACCCCAGAGGACTGCGTCCTCCCGCTCTGCCCGGGCCCAGACAATCGCTTGCTTCTCACCTGCCCCGGAAGCCACGTGTAATTCTCCCTCTGAACGGAGAGTGCTCTTGCTTCTTGGACTGCTTCTGTGGCTGCCCAGCTGAATGTATCAGCTCAGCCAGCTTTTCTGAGCCCTGCTGCAGAAGGGAGAAAGCAGTGCCCAGCTGGTTGTAGGGCAGGAGGGGAGCCCCAGCCGGGAAAGGGTGGAGGCGGGGCCATAGACTCCTCATGCAGCAGGCTGCCTGAGCTGGAACATCCTGGCTAGGCCACGCTCTCCATATAAACATTTAGCCAGGCAGCAAATACGCCAGAGTCAGCTCTCAATCTGCTTCGTATGCCTAATGAACAGACCAGATCCTACCCTGAGCACTCGTGCATTCCTGTGAAGGAGATCAGCCCCGTCAAGGTCAACACAGAGAGAAGCTAGAGTATCGCAGACAAGTATGGCTGTAGGGAGCCTGGGAAGCATGCTGGAGGAGAGAGTAGTCAGTGGCAGGGCACTGCGTATTCGGAGGGGTCAGGGAGGTGGCACTGGAGATGAGCTCTCAGCGTTACAGGGGAGCAGCCACCCAAGGGGATGAAGGAACAGAGCTGGACGTGCAAAGCGCTAAGGAGGAAAGAGCTTATCACGGAGGACACAAAGGAGGCGGAGGTTGCTGGAGTCAGGAGTTTGGTGGTTAGGACAAGAGGCTGAAAAAGGAGACAGGGTAGTGCATATAGAGCATCATAGACTATAGACTGTGGTAAGTCATATGGATGCAATTGGAATGGGAAACCCCTGGAAGTTCTGGGTTGGGGAACACCATCTGTTTTAAACCAGATGCAGGCTCCTCTGGTATTTAAAAAATTTTTTTTTAATTTTTAAAATTTCTGTGTGTGTACGTGATGCTTGTATGTGCACACATGGAGGCCAGAAGTGGGTATCAGATCCCCTGGAACTGGAGTTACATATAAAACTGCATTGTAGATCACATCTGTAACCCCAGGTGATGAAAACAGGAGAATCCTAGGGTCTCTGTTCCTTCATCCCCTTGGGTGGCTGCTCCCCTGTAACGCTGAGAGCTCATCTCCAGTGCCACCTCCCTTATCCCTCCGAATACGCAGTGCCCTGCCACTGACTACTCTCTCCTCCAGCATGCTTCCCAGGCTCCCCACAGCCATACTTGTCTGCGATACTCTAGCTTCTCTCTGTGTTGACCTTGACGGGGCTGATCTCCTTCACAGGAATTTAGCCAGTCTAGCCAAATTAGTGAGC